CAGGAAGCAGGTCCGCTCGATTTGAGATCTGCCAGCAGCTAAAGGCACAAAAGGGATCTTGGCCCATTCTATCTCCTCTGCTCTGATGGCCAGAGACCAAGACCTGGTCACCTCTTGTGCTGGGTCTCAGTCCATAGCTTAGTTCTTAGCGATGTGCCTGAAAAGAAGAAGGCCTTCCACTTGTAAGGCAAATAAACCTACTGTACAGTAATTGTGCCATGTGGTTCCATTTTTATTGTAATGACTTTAGCTGTAATAATAATAATAACGATAATAATTCCAATAATGAACATAATTAAAAAAAAAATACACTTTGAATATTACTGACCCAGAGCATTGCTTGGAAGAGCATGGTCAAGTCTGAAGTCTCGCCTCTGGTTTTTTTTAAAAAAAATGTGTTCCTCCCTGCAGGGATTGGCCATCGGTTTGGCAAAGGTACCACCCAAAGCTATTTTGATGGTCAAGACAGGTGTGTAAGCTTTGCTCCTTTCAAGATTAGAGCTTCCGAAGGCAGGGATGAGGGCAAATGCTCTCTGTGGATTTGCATTTCCCTATCCGTTGGGATGCAGTGGCTCAGTGGCTAAGACGCGGAGCTTGTCAATCAAAAGATGGGCAGTTCAGCGGTTCGAATCCCTAGTGCCACGTAACAGGGTGAGCTCCCGTTCCTTGTCCCAGCTTCTGCCAACCTAGCAGTTCAAAAGGACTTAAAGAAATACAAGTAGAAAAATAGGGACCACCTTTGGTGGGAAGGTAACAGCATTCCGTGCGCCTTTGGCATTTAGTCACGCCGGCCACATGACCACGGAGACGTCTTCGGACAGCACTGGCTCTTCAGTTTTGAAACGGAGATGAGCACCACCCCCTAGAGTCGGGAATGACTAGCACATATGTGCAAGGGGAACCTTTACCTTTTATCCGTTGGAACTTAACATGAAGCATTCCTGCAGCCAACAGTCCACAGTTACGAACCAAGATTTAGTTTAATGGGTGAAATGTTGCCTTTCAACCTCACTATAGCTCCTTGAGTTATGATCGCAATTGGGGCCAGCATTTCCATCGCTAAGCGAAGCAGTTGTTAAGTGAGTTGAGGCCAATCTTGCAACCTTTTTTTACTAAGCAAATCGCTGGAGTTATTAACCGAATCACGTGGCCATTTATTTATAGATGTATTTATTTATAAAGCTTACCGGATGCCCATCTTATCTCAGGATAACTTATTAAGTGAGCATCTAAGTGACATCCGAGAATGTCCCAAAGATGCTTTTTTTTTCAAGAGGCAACTGGACTTTCTGGTTTTTCTTTAGAGATGTTTTGCTTCTCATCCAAGAAGCTTCTTCAGAACTGCCTTCAGACAGTGGTGGGATTCAAATAATTTAACAACCGGTTCTCTGCCCTAATGATTTCTTCCAACAATCAGTTCATCAAACTGCTCAGAAAGTTAACAACTGGTTCTCCCGAAGCAGTGTGAACCGGCTGAATCCCACCACTGCGTTCAGAACTGAAGAAGCTTCTTGGATGAGAAGCGAAATGTCTTCAAAGAAAAATCAGAAAGTCCAGTTGCCTTGTTCTGACCTAGGCTTCCTAAGTCAGTAAAACACCCGAGTAGTCCCAAAAACCTGCTTTATTTTAACAGCTGTGAATTCTGTTCATTCACAAGTGAGTCCCAAATGGTTGTAAAGAGTCCTTCGGGATAAGGCTGATAGTCACCCACCTTGATATGCTGCCACAGACCTAATTGGCAAAGCCACACGGAGTCCAGAATCAAACAGAGCTTCAGACTTTAAACTGCACAGAATTAACAATGTTGCTTCCTGCAAAGGCCCACGTGCCTTTGCTCCTCTTTTAAGTCTTATGGGAGGGGCCAATCATCTCCAAGTCTTACTCCCAAGTTGTCCCTTTTGTTTTAACTGTTCTTGCCTTCTGGCAGCTCTGCGCATGAGCACACTGGGAACAGGCTCCCCCTGTTCCTCTGCCTCGCTGATGTCCGACTCTGGAGGGTCCGGAGGCAGCACATACCTCCCAGATGGCCCTTTCTCTGCGTCGAATGCAGAGCCCTCATCAGCCCAGACTGCAGGACTGGCCCATGGTCCTTCCCAGCCTCCTCACTGTCCGACTCTGCTGCCAGCTCCGCAGGCTGCTGGCAGACCACAACATGCCTCTTCAAAAAGCACCTTTGGGTCATTAAGTGAGTCCGGCTTCCCCAGTTGACTTTCCTTGTCAGAAGCTGGCTGGGAAGGTTATAAATGAAGATCACGTGATCCCGGGACGTTACAACCATTGTAAATATGTGCTGATTGCCAATTACCAGAATTTTAGATCACAGGATAGTGGAAATGCTGCAAAGGCTGTAAGGTTGCAATCGGTTTTTTTCAGTGCTGTCGTCGCTTTGAACGGTTGCTAAACGAATGGTCGTAAGTTGAGGACTACCTGTAGAATAGATGCTTTTTGTCATATTCCCTCCACAATATTTTGGTGAGCTAGTTCTAATCTGAACTTCTCACAAGGCTCCAGATGCACAGTGTTGTGACCTATGCCCAAGTAGTTATTACCAGACACAATCAGTCCTAAACAAACATATTTTATTAGAAGAGCTGAGAATTAGGAGCCTGGATAGCTCTGCAGGCTAAGCACTGTAATTTAACACCAGCTGTCTGCAATTAAAGTAAGTTCGAATCTCACCAGGCTCAAGGTTGACTCAGCCTTCCATCCTTTCTAAGGTAGGTAAATTGAGGACCCTGTTTGTGGGGTCAATAAGCTGACTTTGTATAAAATATACACAAGTATGAAGGCTGTTGCTTAACGCCTTGTAAGCCGCCCTGAGTCTCCGGAGAAGGGCAGCATATAAATAAAAAAAAAAATTTTTTTTTAAATTACTTCATTCTCAGCTTAGTCCAAATTACTTCCAAAACAAATTTTTCATAAACAGTCCTTCGGCCTTATCACCGACCTTTGTCTTCTTTGGCACCCTGCCAAAGGCTTTTCTTGGCAAAAGTTCAGAAGCAAGAGATGCCGACAAGAAACAAATGTAGCAACGTTGCTTTCCTACAAAGATCCCAAGAGCCGTTGCTACTCTTTTAAGCCTTCTGGGACGGGTCAATCATCTCCTGGCCTTACTCCTGAGTCATCCTGTTTGCTTTAGCTGCTCTTGCCTTCTGGCAGCTCTTCGCATGAGTGCACTAGGAACAGGCTCCTCCTGTTCCTCTGCCTCTCTGCTATCTGTCTCTGGAGGCTCCGGAGTCTGCACATTGCTCCCAGATGGCCCTGGCCCCATCTCTGCCTCCGACACAGAGCCCTTGTCCGGGCCTTCCCCAGACTCCAGGACTGGCCCATGGTCCTCCCCAGCCTCCTCACTGTCCGACTCTGCTGCCAGCTCCGCAGGCTGCTGGTGGACCACAACACACAGAACCTTTGCTTCGCTTAAGAATGCACAGCCTTCAAACATGAGGAATCTAATCTACTTCAGTATTTTTTTCTTACAATCTTCTCTCTCATCTGCCCTAACCAAGGCATGAAATACTGTCATGCAGACAAAACAGTCAGCGACAGAACTCTCAATCCAAGCATTTGCTCTCAACTCAAAACTAAGGTCACTGATTATTTCATATAAACCTTCATTTCTCTCTCCCTCTCTCTCTCTCTCTCTCTCTCTCTCTCTTTTTAACGTTTCCTTATCGGTATCCTAACTGGACTTTTGCCTCTTAGATGACGATGTTCAGTTATATTGACCACTGGCATCTCAGATGGATTTTGTCCTATTTGTGACTATTTAGACAAAGGTAGCCAGATGTTATCCAATAGCCTCAAACCTTGGACCAGGAACTGGAAACATGGATTTAAAGAGACAAAACCATACTGCCTCCTGGTGCTCAAGAGTAATTGAAAAAGAAATCCTATAGAATATACATTGTGTGAAAATAGAGCTGTTCCCAATTCCAAGCTGGGCGGGCAAATGTTATGCAAATGGGGGCACGACATAATACAACATCTAAGAATCTTCCTCTGTAACAGCTTAAGGGATGGTCTATAAATACCACCTGCTTAGATTCTAAAAGAGAGCAAAACACCTTTTCAATAATTTCCATTCTACAACAATCAAAGAACATGGCTGATCAGCTGCAGAGTTTACAAAATGTACCAGTGATTTACTTCCTGCCCATTCCTGTTCTATTTGTAAAGGGTGGTAATTTGTTTATTTGTTTATTGACACCCATCTCAGCAAAGGCTGTGGGCAGCTCATAATTTAAGGGGGGGGATTATTTTACCTTCCATTTGTTCATTCAAATGGAATGCAATCGTAACCAACTGAGCTGTGTACCTAGGAAAATATTTCTTGCTTTTCACTGCAGATCCAGTTAAGATGCTGGGCTTGTCAGTGGGAAAGCCCAGGTTTGAGACCCGAGCACCACGTGATGGGGTGAGTGCACCTGTCCTCACCCTAGCTCCTGCCAAACTAGCAGTTCAAAAGCATGCTTAATGTGAGTAGATAAATAGGTACCACTTCGGTGGGAAGGTAACAATGTTCCGTGACACCATACTGGCCACATGACCACAGAAATGTCTTTGGAGAAGACTGGCTCAATGGCCTTGAAAAGGAGATGAGCACCATCCACGGGTGAAATCTAGCAGGTTCTTGACAGGTTCTGGACATTTTGAGCAGTTCGGAGAACCAGCAGCGGAAATTTTGAGTAGTTCGGAGAACCGGTAAATACCACCTCTGGCTGGTCCCAGAGTGGGGTGGGAATGGAGATTTTGCAATATATTTCCCCTGGAGTGGGGTGAGAATGGAAATTTTGCAATATCCTTCCCCTGGAATGGGGAGGGAATGGGGATTTTGCAGTATCCTTCCCCTGGAATGGGGTGGGAATGGGGATTTTGCAATATCCTTCCCCTGGAATGGGGAGAGAATGGAGATTTTGCAGTATACTTCCCCTGCCATGCCCACCAAGCCACACCCACCAAGCCACACCATGCCCACCAAGCCACGCCCACAGAACCGGTAGTAAAAAAAATTGGATTTCACCACTGGCACCATCCCTTATAGTCTGCAACAATTAGCAGAGTAAAATCCGCAAGACAAAGTAAAACTCCTTTGCCTTTTTCACTGCAGATCCATAAATTCAACTTACAGATAACCTTCTTTGTTAACTTGTTCTCAGCACTGACAACACTTCCCATCAATATCCAGAGAGAACGTTTCTCATCCCAAATGTGTAACTTTTTCACTCTTAAAACGCTTCGTCCAAATGATATATGTCTTCCGGGTTTCCATCCACAAGTCTCACAAATCCCTGGGCTCTGCTTTTTATTATCTTTCTGGAATGTAGCTCTTCGTTTGAACCAGAGAATGAGATTGACCTGAAAACCAATTTGGTCTAATGGTTAATTGAAGGGGAGACAGTGAGTACTAATCTTGCCTTATGCACAGAAGGCAGATGGATGACTTTGGGCTAGTCACTCTTCAGCTATAGGAAGAAGTTACTGGCAAGCTGGTCCAAAAAAGGTTGCCAAGAAAACTTGGTGCGTTAAAGTAGAAGCCTATCAAGAGATCTTTCTGTTGGTAGGCATCTGCCAATTAAAAGTCCTGAGTCCAGAACGTGCAAAATAAACCTTGAGGTAATTCCATCTGGTTGGATGGATGTGGCCTGCTCCCAATTATAAAGAGGTTAAGGAAGAAGACCTGAGGTTGGGTGGAACTCGGTTTTCTGATGGTGTTGGCAGAGGTGGAGGCAGAGAAGAAGAGACGGGACGGCAGCTGGCGGTCTTTCGCACCATTGTCCATAAATCAGTCCTGAAGCGCTTGATGGAGAAGCAATAGATCAGAGGGTCAATGCAACTGTTCAGGCTGAGAAGAGCCACACTCAACATGTGAAGGTTATCCAAGAACGATGGAGGACTACAGGCTAAACCCGACATTTGGTCGGTGACCCAAGGAACCAAGGAGAGGTGGTAAGGTGCCACACAGACCACAAACACTAAGAGCATGCCCAGCACCATGGCACGTGCTCTGCGCCGGTGGCCACCTTGACATGTGCCAGCTGCAGTGGACAATGTCCTCATGATAGACAAGTAGGTCCCCAGCACAATTAAGAAAGACAGAGTGAAGATGACCACCATAGCGTAGGCATAGGTCGTCTGGCCTGAGTGCTGTTCAAAGCATTTCAAGCTGGTGGACTCTCCCTGGTGTGTTTGTTGCTTAGTCAATGAAGGAACGGCACAAAGTAGGCACAAAATCCAGGCCATCACACAGCTGATCAGTGCCCCCTGGGGCCGGTTCAGAACCAGTTCTACCTTTGCCACCGTACAGTATCGGTTCAGGCTGATCAAAGTCATGAAGGCCATGGCACTGTAGGTGGACAGATAGTAGATGGCTCCAGCCAAGCGGCAGAAGACTTCTGGCAGACTCCAGTGTCCTTTAGCTAGGTAGTAGGTGATCCAGAAGGGCAGGGTGAGGTTGAAGAAGATATCGGCCAAGGTGAGGTTGAGGAGGTAGATGCGGATAGCTTTCCTGACTCGTCCACTCTGAAGGAAAACAAGCAAGGCTGCCACGTTGCCGGGCAATCCCACGCATAACACCAGGCAATACGTGGCTGGCACTATGACAAACTGCAGAGGATCGTTGAGCTGACACTGGACATCCGCCAGCCCCACAAAGGTGGAGTTGTTCATCCCAAGACCTCTAGAAGACAGGAAGGGAAAGTGTCAAGGTTCCAACTGATGAACCCAAGCAAGCAAGCACTGTCAAGACGTTCCAATCTCTGAATGCAAAACTTTATTGAGTACATCGTATCGGCACAGATTGAAAGCAAAACCAACTCTATTTAATTTCCGTGGTTTTCACACAATTAAAGAATAGAAACTCCCTCCCCCCCATTAGCGCAGGCCACGTTGTCCAATTAGATGTCCAAGTATTGTTACAGAAACTGTCCAGGTCTTTGCTAAACGTCTGGTTAGAGGACCTTGGTTCCCATGGGACAATTTCTTGTTGCCACCAGGAACTGGAATTCCAAAAGTGGCTCTCCTCCTCCCCTCCCCCTCCCCCCCCACAATTTGGTGGCAAGCTGAAAAGCGGCAATGGCTGCAACAGTAAAATCAGGCTGACAGAAAGAAGATCTGGCCATAATAAAACAACTCAGAGAGAAGACAGAGAAGGTGGGAAAGATGGAGTTCATCAACTCATCAAGATGGAGGTTCTTAGAAGTGAGTGGATAGAGTAGGTTTACTTGTTAAAATCCAAGTTATTTTGGCATTTGGACAAGATGGCCTACAAGGTCCCTTACAACTCAGTTAATCTGTAATCTGTAAATCTGGGTGGTTTATAAAACTTTCCGAAGTTCATAAATTGTCCCCAATTAACTTAACTGAACCCCAAATTAATTTTTGTTCTGAGCTCACCTTCTTTTATCTTCTGTTCTCTTCCACTGGGAGGGGGGATGCAGCACATCAAGTCCAGACAGGCTTGTCAACCTAGAAAATACACAAACACAAAACAGAGAGAGAATGAGTTCAGATGGATTAGGCCGGGTGTCAGCAACCTGTGGCTCCGGAGCCGCATGTGGCTCATTGGGCCCTCTCCTGTGGCTCCCTGTCGGGTGATCCCACCACTGGCTGGTCCCGCCCCTCACCCTCCCCTCCCAGTCATTCCTCTCCTGGCCTGAGAAAGTAAGGGCGACGGCGGGGGGTGGAGAAGCATCCAGGGCAGAGACAGAGAGATACAGAGAGAGGGGGGGAGGGAGGGAGGGAGGGAGGGAGGGAGGGAGCTGACAAAAAGGTTTTGTGGTTCCCGGTGTTTTTTAACAACCAGTTCTCTGCCCTAATGACCAGCTGGGTAGGTGTGGCTAAGGGGTCATGTGACTGGTGGAAGTGAGTGATGTCGAGTTGGCCACGCCCACCCAGGTTTTGTGGCTCCCGGTGTTTTCTTTTCTATAGGAAACGGGTCCAAATGACTGAGTGTTTAAGGTTGCAGACTCCTGGACTAGGCGCTTGGAGGGAGAACAGCAGTGGAGGGTTTCTACCGGTTTGCCCCAGTTTCGGCGAACCAGTAGTGGCAGCGGCAGGAGGCTCCGCCCACCCATCTGGACATGTGCAGAAGCGCCACGCGCGAGCGCGCTCCTGGTTCTGAACCAGTAGCGAAGGTAAGAGGAACCCACTATTGGAGAACAGGTTTGGAGATGGGCAGGCAGATGGCTGGAGAGTGGGGTGTAGAAGAGAGAAGGCAATTGACCACCACTTCTGGCTGAATTGAGGAAGAGGATGGACCTCCCAGGATACAGCTGATCCAATCAAGCCGCTGATGCAAAATGGGATGTTTTGAACGGTTGGACCAGCAGACAAACAAGAGTAGAAATCAATGCAGGAGCGGGTCACAGTGCAGAAGGTTTGCAGGGGATGGACCAGGGGTGAAATCTAAATTTATTTCCTACCGGTTCTGTGGGCGTGGCTTGGTGAGTGTGGCTTGATGCGGGTCATGTGACTGGATGGGCGTGGCTATGTAACCATGTGACTGGGCAATCAAAAGACAGAAACTCACTAACAATGTCCTGCTGGAGCAGGGTTTGACTAGATGACCTCCAGGTACCTTCCAGCCCTGGATTATCCCCTGAAGCTGCGTCTAATGATAGGTTTGTAGTCCTTCCTTCCTCTCCTTTTTCCCTCCCTCCCTTTCTTTCTTTCTTTCTTTCATTCTCTTTCTTTCTTTCTTTCTTCTTTCTTTTTCTTTCTTTCTTTTTCTCTCTCTCTCTCTGCTTCTCATTCTTTCTCTCTCTCTCTTTCTTTCAAAAATGCCCCCCCATCCCCGTTTTTGGCCTACACCCCCCGTTTTTGACCTAACAAGTTTCAGGGAAGCCTGCTGGGAGTAAAAACAGACACCCCCCCACCCCCATAAAAAAAAGGTTCTGACGATCACGCGCCACAGCTGTGATCATCAGAGCCTTTTTTTACCTTTAAAAAGCATTTTTTTTACTACTGGCTCGGGCAAATAGGTAGTAAAAAATACTTTAAAAAAGTAAAAAAAAAGGCTCTGCTGCACAGCTGTCATTGTCGGAGTCTCTTTTTTTTTTTTTTTTTTTACTTTTTAAAGCGTTTTTAACTACCAATTCTGGAGAACCGGTAGTAAAAAAATGCTAAAAAAGTTTTTTTAAAAAAGTTCCGACGATCGCGGGTCACTCAGCTGATCGTCGGAACTTTTTTTAAAACATTTTTTACTACCGGTTCAGCAAACCAGTAGCATTTTTTACTACCGGTTCGGGCGAACCGAACCGAACCGGTAGCATTTCACCCCTGGGACGGACCCATCTGCACACACACACTGCTCCCCACTCATTTCCTGCTGACAGCAAGAAAATGCCATGTCACAAAGAAAGGGAAACCCCACTCACAATCCAGGGGAGCTTTTCAGAGACGGCTCCCTGAACCCAGTTTTGCTGCATGGCATTTCTGACGGAGAAATTGGGACCACAGCTGCAAGCAGGGAGGGTGCTTCAGGCAGTAGACATCCCCCCCGCCCCCAAGTGCCTGTCTTGGAGATGTGGCTCCTGGCTCCAGTCAGCAGCTGCTGGGACTTAGCTTCGTGGAGGGGGAGAGTGGATGGCTGTGGACAGAATGGCTCCCCAGCGCTGATACACACTTCAGCTGTTCAGCTCTCCCTCTCGCTGCCAAGGGAGAGCACAGCTGAGCCCGAGGGGGGGCAGGAGAGGCTGTTGCTGCCCCCTCCCCTTCCTCATCAGCCCTGGAGGCCTTGGTGGAGCAGCAGAAACGCCCTGGGAGAAGACATCCAGTCAATCTTGGTTTTCTTCAGGTAAAACCAACCCAGTAGAAACTGTGGAAGCTGAAGGCATTTGAACCCATACGAAATATGCATTCCCCATCATGACCACCACAACACACACAACATACCTGTTTACAATATACATACATACATATTGCAAAAGACAGAGAGAAGATAGATGAGATACAGAGATTAAAGAGAGAGATGATAGATAATTGATGTTATAGGAGAGAGAGAGAGAGAGAGAGAGAGAGAGAGAGAGAAATACTGAGATACCATACATAGATTAGATAAATAGATTAGATAGATAGATGAGATAGATAGATGATAGATAGATAGATAGATAGATAGATAGATAGATGATGATAGATAGATAGATAGATAGATAGATAGATAGATAGATAGATGATAGATAGATAGATAGATGGATAGAGATGATAGATAGATGATAGATAGATAGATAGATAGATAGATAGATAGATAGATAGATAGATGATAGATAGATAGATAGATAGATAAATAGATGAGATAGATAGATGATAGATAGATAGATAGATAGATAGATAGATAGATAGATAGATAGATAGATGATAGATAGATAGATAGATAGATGATAGATAGATAGATAGATAGATAGATAGATAGATAGATAGATGATAGATAGATAGATAGATAGATAGATAGATAGATAGATAGATAGGCAGGCAGGCAGGCAGACAGGCAGGCAGACAGACAGATAGGCAGACAGATGATAGGTGATAGATAGATAGATAGATAGATAGATAGATAGATAGATAGATAGATAGATAGATAGATAGATAGATGATAGATAGATAGATAGATGATAGATAGATAGATAGATAGATAGATAGATAGATAGATAGATAGATAGATAGGCAGGCAGGCAGACAGGCAGACAGATGATAGGTGAGATGGATGGATGGATGGATGGATGGATGGATGGATGGATGGATGGATGGATGGATGGACGGACAGATGGACAGATGGACAGATGGACAGATGGACAGATGGATATATATATAGAGAGAGGCAGACAGGCAGATAGAGATAGATGAGACAGACAGACAGACAGACAGACAGATGAGTTTTGTTCCATCTTGAAAGCTCATGTGTTATCAACCACAGGCAGCCTCCACCAGTCCTAAAACTAAAACTGGTCCTAGAAAATTATCTCTCTGAATGCACCCACAGCAAACAGGAACAATTATTTATTTGCTTGTTTGTTTGCTTTTTAAAAAATCCCAGATTGCTTTATTTTACAACGCCTTTCCTATTTATTCCCAGGTTTGTAATCTGGCCCGGCCCTGTGCATTCTGCGAAGTTCAATACTGAATAAGATACAATATCCCTGACATTCTTTTTTTTTTTCTTCCTTCCTAGCGATTTCCCGCAAATGCAGGGACGGCTTTACTTTTTTTCAGATCAACCCTGATACTAAAATGCTTTTGGAAAAAAAGGTATTAACATTTCTGGTCACACACCTGCCGAATTCAGCTGCATTCAAACAAATATGCTAGGCCTGAATTATTAATACCATAGCTAAGAGTTGTGTTGCTTAGGTGTTGGATAAACCCAAAGGATTTGATTAGCTGATAGTAAAATCCAGGCAGTTTTCCACGTATGACCACAATTGAGTCCAATATTTCGGCTGCTAAGCAAGACAGTTGTTAAGTGAGATTTGCCCCATTTTACGACCTTTCCTACTGCCACTGTTAAGTGAATCACTGCAGTTATTGTTAGTAGCATGGTGGTTTAGGTAAATCTGGCTTCCCCATTGACTTTGCTTGTCAGGATGTCGCAAAAGGTGATCATGTGATCCCAGGACACTGCAGCTGTCATAAATATAAGTCAATTGCCAAGCATCTGAATTTTCATCCCATCACCACGGGGATGCTGCAATGGACATAAAGTGTGAAAAACAGCCATGTCACTTTTTTCAATGCCGTTGTAACTTTGAATGGTCACTAAATGAATGGTTGTAAGTCAAGGATGACCTATGTATGAGACAGAAAAATGGGTTAATTCAGGAACCCAGTCACTAAATGAATGGTTATAAGTCAAGCTTGGATAGCTCAACAGACTAAGCACTGTAATTTAACACCAGCTGTCTGCAATTACTGCAAGTTCAAATCTCACCAGGCTCAAGGTTGACTCAGCCTTCCATCCTTTCTAAGGTAGGTAAATTGAGGACCCAGTAAGGTTGCCAACTTTTAAACCTGCTTGTGCTTTACTGCATTAAAGCTTCAGCCCAGCCTGTCAAAAAAAAAAGGGGGGGGAATATTCTGGTAGATCCAATCCACCCTTAACTTGTGCTGTCATTGGTAAGAATAATATGAATAAAAACTTTATTACGGTCATCGACCAGCAATAGACATACAATAAATTAAAAATAATACTGACATTAATCGTGAATAGTAACATCCCTGTTATGAAAATACATAATCTCAAACCATTAGGGTCACTCCCTAATTTACATGAGTAAAGAGCTGATAAGTATGTGAGTAAATGTATTTTTCCAATAATTGTTATAGATATCTCCAAAAAAATGGCACCAGTTGACATCTATAATTCTGTAACCAGTTTTTTTCTTGTGGACATTGCAGCGAGACAGAATTTTGCCATTGCACGCGTGGTACCCGGGTTTGAGTCTTGGAGGAGAAAGCCTACATAAAAATCGTCTGTCCTCCCTGGCAATCTCACTAGTAAGGGGAGAATATATATTGACCTACATACCGGGGTGGATTCTAAAATCTTTTACTACCGGTTCTATGGGCGTGGCTTATTTTGTGGGCGTGGTTTGATGGTCATATGACAATTCTTTAGGATTTAGCAGAGGTACTGGTCTACCAGGCTTTTAACTGCTTGTAGAGCTATACCGGTCTACCCATTTGTTTTTGGAGGCACCGGTCTACTCATTTGTTTTTGGAGGCATCAGTCTACTCATTTGTTTTGGAGGCACCAGTCTACCCATTTGTTTTTCTAGTACACTGGTCTACCACCACACTGCCTTTTAACACTGATCAGCTGAGGGCGGCCCTTTGAAGCCCCGCGGCAAGAGTTTAAACCGTTTTTTTCCTTCTAGCCGATCAGCTGGGACTCGGGAGGCAGCAAATAGATTGGGGGTGGGGCCAAATAAAAGGTAAGAATAACGCGGGGGGGCAGGAGGGTCCAGCTCCTGAACAAAGAGAACCGGTTCGGTGATGTCATATCATCACCGCTATCGGCTCGGCCGAACCGGGCCGAACCGGGAGGAACCCACCACTGCTACATACTATGTATAACTCACAGTACAATAAAAAAATGTGAGATATCTTCAACTTCTCCTTTTCCACATATGCCATTGGTAAGGAAAACAACTGGCAGTGCTGACGGATTTGCTACCTTGAAAACAAGGATCAATGCAAAAACTTTTTTAGGACAGAATTCATTCATTCATATATTTTTTTATTCTTACCTAGCAACTACAGTCCATCTTCGCTCAGTTCTTGTTTTCTCGTTTTCAGAAAGGGCTTCTGCCAGTAACTATGTGAGATATCACACAACCCCCTCAAAATGTTAGTCTCTCTGCTGCGGCAATTATGAATGTCTGCGGTTATTTGTCATGACTTGAGTCATTTTTCGCACCAGCTGGGGGGGCCGGATATTCTACAGGAATAAAGCAAGCAGGTGGGAAACAGTTGTTATTTTATTCATAAAAGAAAGTAAAATCTGGCCTTAACCCCTAAAGCGGGGTGAAATGTTCCCAGTTTGGACCGGATCGCCCAATCCGGTAGCGATGACGGTGGGTGGTTCAGAGAACCAGTAGCAGAAATCCCTGCCCCACCCCCTATGCCCAGTTGAGCCGCGCAATCATCAGGGGTTTTTTTTTTTACGTTTAAAAGCATTTTTTCTGCAAATGCTTTTAAAAGTTTTTTTTTTTTAAAGCCTCTGATGATCGCACGGCTCAGCTGGGATCGTCAGAGCCTTGAAAAAATGCTTTTAAAAGGCTCTGACGATCCCAGCTGAACCGCACGATCATCAGAGCTTTTTTTTTCTTTTAAAAACAAAAAAAAAATGCTTTTAAAAGAAAACAAAATCCTCTGACGATCAGGCAACTCAGCTGGGATCGTCAGAACCTTTTAAAAGCATATTTTCTACATTTTTTCGGCCGAAGAGGTTGTAGAAAAATGCTTTTAAACGGGAAAAAAAAAGTTGGCCACGCCCACCCAATCACATTATCCCCCCAAGCCACGCCCACAGAACTGGTAGTGACAAATTTTACATTTCACCACTGCCCTAACGAGATGGCGTCTAAAGTCAACAGTTCTCTTGGCCAGTAACATGTATAAAAATCTCACTTATGGAAATGCAATGTGCACAGGTCATGCAGAAGATGGAAAGGAAAAAGATGGAAAGATTCAGCACCATCCATGATGGAGGAATGGTTGATGAAGATGATGGGACTTTCAAGAGATAGCTAAATGGGCTTCCTCGATTAGAGAAAAAAACAGCAGCTACATTTATGGCTGACTTGAAAGCATTATAACCTTTTTGCACGGAAAAAAAATGAAGCTATGATTTATCAGAATAATAAGATTTGGAAGGGACCTTGGAGGCAGGGACCGGAAGAGCAGCTCCTTGGCACGCACGCACGGGAGCGCCAGAAACCGGAAGAACAGCTCCCCGGCATGCATGTATGCGCCAGGAAACTGAGCTTCCGGTTTCCGGAACTCGGAAGAGCAACGGGCAACGGCTGGCTTGCCCAGAGAGATGGCTCTACATTCCACTTCCGGCACGCGTGCCATAGCTTCGCCATCATGGCACTATACCATTTCAGACAAGTGGCTGTCCAGTCTCTTCTTAAAAGCCTCCGGTGATGGATCTCCCACAACTTCTGGAGGCAAGCTATTCCATTGGTTAATTGTCCTCACTGTTAGGAAGTTTCTCCTTAATTCTAGGGTGGTTCTCTCCTTGATTAGTTTCCATCCATTGCTTGTTGTTTTTTCTTGTCTTCTGGTACTTTGGAAAATAATTTGACCTCCTCTTTTTTGTGGCAGCCCCTCAAATATTGGAACACTGCCATCATGTCACCCCAATTCCTTCTTTTCATTAGACTAGACATACCCAGTTCCTGCAACTGTTCTTCATATGTTTTAGTCTCCAGGCTGCACTCTTTTCAAAGAGTGGAAATTAAATTAGGGTTTTGATGATCCAACAGAATCGATTACAAAAAGGAGAGAGTTATGTTGTAACCCTAGAGCATGAGGTAAATTAATAATTACAGTATACTTATAATGGATTCGAAAGTGGTGCCCCCAAAAGACCTGGCACCCACAAATATTCCTTGACATATGGCCATAGTGGAGCCTGCTCACCAGAGTTGTATGTCCTAACGGTTGTAATGTGGATTGGTGACCAAGCCAATTTTACGAACATTTCTGCAGCGATCGTTAAGCTAATCTGTGGTTGTTAAGCAAATGGTGCAGACGTTAAGTGAGCCAATGGTTCGCTATGGGTGTCATTTTGCCCAAAAACAGAAATAAGTTAGTTCCAGTTTCCTGCAAAACGGTAATAAAACGTATCACGTGACTGCAGGAGGCTGCAAATGGTTTGTAGAATGCCCAAAGTTCAGTCCCTTTACCACAGAGGGGGTTTGACCCAGTGGTGGGTTTCAAAATTTTTTACTACCGGTTCTGTGGGTGTGGCTTGGTGGGCATGGCATGGGAAGGATACTGTAAAGTCTCCATTCCCTCCCCACTCCAGGGGAAGGTTTCTGCAAAATCCCCATTTCCTCCTGATCAGTTGGGACTTGGGAGGCAGAGAAGAGATGGGGGCGGGGCAGTGGTGGGTTCCTCACGGTTCAGTCCGGTTCGGCCGAGCCGGTAGCGGTGACGATATGAGGTCACCGAACCGGTTCTCCCACCTACACCTTCCCACCCAACCACCCACCCACGTTATTCTTACCTTTTATTTGGTCCCACCCCCAATCTATTGCTGCCTCCTGAGTCCCAGCTGATGACTAGAGGGAAAAAAACTGTTTAAACTCTTGCCGCGGGGCTTCAAAGGGCCGTCCTACAGCTGATCAGTGTTAAAAGCAAACAAATGAGTCGCGTCGTAAGTGCAAGGACTGGTCGTAAGTGCGAGGACCTTCCAGAAATGACTCTGACCAGCTAGCCACGCCCATCTAGTCACATGACCTCCAAGCCACACCCACAAAATAAGCCACACCCACAGAACCAGTAGTAAAAAAATTTAGAACCCACCCCTGGGGCAGGGCCAGTCAGAATTTTTACTACCGGTTCTCCAAACTACTCAAAATTTCCGCTACCGGTTCTCCAGAACTGGTCAGAACCTGCTGAAACCCACCTCTGGTCTGACCCCCCTCAAATTCAGGTTGTAAGTCCCCTTTTTCAGGTCAGTCATAACTGTTGAATGGTCACCCTGCAACTGATCATTTGAGAACCACTTAAACAATGAAGGGTGCGAATTGCAAGGATTAAAATAACATCCATTGAACAGACTGATCAGTTTGCCTACAGTACAACAGTGCTAGTTATAGAGGAACTGTGTGCTGAAATTAGAAACCCAAAAGCAAAATCATATTCAACCCCAGAGTGCAAGATCAGACTGGAGGCCAGGATAAAGAAATTAAGATCAGATGCAAGTAATTTAAAGAACATGAAAGGGCAAACACGGAAGAATGCAAAGATCAGGACAAGCTAATAAAAAAAAATATTAGCTTAGCACCAGAAAAATTGAAAAGGGTTTGGAAATCATAAAGCAACGAATAACAGCAATTGCAGTGAAAAATTGAACGCTACGAGGCATGAATCATCCAATTTAAGCAAAATCAGCTATCGCGATCAGATCAGAGGCCATTCTACTAGAGTATAAATGGCAATAGAAATTCTGAAAGTGGAAAACATGGCCAATGGCGAAAGAGGCTGGGCGTTGTAGGCCTGCAACATCTGGAACTGGAGCAGGCACATCTGCAGAAGGTGTTAAAAAAAGAGTCAAGACTGCTATATGTAAAAAAGGGGGGAGGGGAGTGACAGAGATTTGATTGTATGTTGGTAGCCTCCATGCTGATTTTGTGGATCCTCCTGCAGATGTCTCCATCACACCTGGACCACTCGGAGGACAGGGTCTGGGGGATATTCTCCAAATGGTTGCTATAGAAGAATACACCCACACATGCAGAAGGCCACTGAGCTCTGCTCCCAAAACAGAGCCTACCATCCCATGGAGATGCTTTGTCAAAAGGCAACTGGACTATGCTTTTTCCTTGAGGAAGAAGAGAGTTTGCTTCTCATCCAAGAAGCTTCATCAGTTCTGAGTGAATGGTGGGGTGGGGGGATGGAGGCAAGGGTGAAATCCGGCAGGTTCTGACAGGTTCCGCGGAAATTTTGAACAGTTTGGAGAACCTAGCAGCGAAAATTTTGAGTAGTTCAGAGAACCGGCAAATACCACCACTGGCTGGCCCCAGAGTGGGGTGGGAATGGAGATTTTGCAGTATCCTTCCCCTGGAGTGGGGTGGGAATGGGGATTTTGTAGTATCCTTCCCCTGGAGTGGGGTGGGAATGGGGATTTTGCAGTATCGTTCCCCTGCCACGCCCACCAAGCCACACCACACCACGCCCACCAAGCCACGCCCACAGAACCGGTAGTAAAAAAATGGATTTCACCACTGGATGGAAGGATTAGTTTTGATGATTAGTTCCATTCCCCCCCTCCCCATTATCCAGTCAGAACTGATGAACTTCTTAGAGGAGAAGTGAAAGGACTTCTTCCTCAAAGAAAAACCATCGTTCAGTTGCCATTTGAAAAAGCACTTTTGAGGCAACCATGACCTGTATGACTGAGAATCTCCACAGACAATCCCGTGGAGACTTTTACAAGAGCCAAAACTTTCCCTCAGTTGAGGAACTAGATGTGTCTGATCTAACTACTAAACACTGTCAAATCTCTTTTCTAACAAGGACTTTCTCTAGGGAACTTGGTCTGTCTAGTAAAGTCCAACAAAGAGAAGGACCAGGAATGTCATGAGAGCAGTCTTCCAGTACTTGAAGGGCTGTCACATAGAAGAGGGGGGGACAACCTATTCTCCAAAGCACCTGAGGGCAGGACAGGAAGTAACAGGTGGAAGATCATTAAAGAGAGATCCAACCTAGAATTAAGCAGAAATTTCCTGACAATGAGAACAATTAATCAGTGGAACGACTTGCCACCTGAATTTGTGGGTGCTCCATCACTGGAGGTTTTCAAGAAGAGACTAGTAAATGTGGTGGCTTTTAAATTTTTTTACTACCGATTCTGTGGGTGTGGCTTGGTGGGTGTGGCAGGGGAAGGATACTGTAAAATCTCCATTCCCACCCCACTCCAGGGGAAGGTTCCTGCAAAATCCCCATTTCCTCCCAATCAGCTGGGACTCGGGAGGCAGAGAATAGATGGGGCTAGTCAGAATTTTTACTACCGGTTCTCTGAACTACTCAAAATTTCCGCTACTGGTTCTCCAGAACTGGTCAGAACCTGCTGAAACCCACCTCTGGGTAAATGCTCAACTCCATCCAGTCACCCTACCCTGAATTAAAGGATTACAGGGTTGTAAAAAGGGAGATATGCATGTACATGTACATATACATACATATGCACATACATATATACATGTAGATATCTCATCAGGGATGGCATAGGGCAGTGATGGCTAACCTTTTTTGGACCAAGTGCCCAAAGCGCGCACATACGCATGAAAGTGTGCGTGCCCCAAACCCCGAAAATGCAATGAGCACGCAGCCCCCATGCATGCGCCCTGCCCCCAATGCATGTGCGTGCAACCCGCCTGCACCCCACCCGTGCATGCGCTCCACACACACACACACACATGCCCAGCCCCTGCACATGCACGCATTCCCCCCCCACACGTGCCCCCCCCCGCGCATGCACAGCAGAGACCCAACGACCAGCTGGCTGGTGGGAGGCACATGCGCAAGCGCGGTGGAGCTAAATTGGGGCGACACGTGCCATAGGTTCACCATCATGGGTATAGGGTCTCCTGCTTGAGCAGGGGGTTTATTTATTTATTCATTCATTCATTCATTCATTCATTCATTCATTCATTCATTCATTCATTCATTTATTGGTTCGATTTATATGCCGCCCTTCTCCGAAGACTCAGGGCGGCTTACAATGTGTTAAGCAATGGCCTTCATACTTTTGTATAGTAGGGCTTAGTAGGGCTTAGTAGCCCATACTTAGTAGGGCTTTCGGCCCATCCTAAGCGGTGTTCTTTTTTATACAAAGTCAGCTTATTGCCCCCACAAACCGGGTCCTCATTTTACCTACCTCGGAAGGATGGAAGGCTGAGTCAACCTTGAGCCTGGTGAGATTTGAACTTGCAGTAATTGCAGGCAGCTGGTGCTACTTAACAACACTTTAGTCTGCTGCGCCACCAAGGCTCTTAGAAGACTAGAAGACCTCTCAGCTCCTTTCCAACACTCTTATTCTATGTTCTTTTTCTCAAGATGTTTGGTTTACTTCCAGCACAGCAGCTTCGTATTTATTTCAGATGATAGGGAAGGTTATAGGGAGAATTTCTCTTTAGAAAGTCAGGGCTGAGACAGCCTGACAGATTGACGCTCAAGTCTTTGCATGCAGAAACAACACACTATCTACCACTGATGTAGCTGTTGTATTACAAATGACAGTTTGCCAAGCAGAGGAAATAAAATCTTGATATTAAGGATGCAGGGGGAAAAAAAACATCATTTATGGCATTTTCAACAGCATCCACCATCAATGCTTTGAAGACTTGAAAGGGTTTTTATTTTTAAAGGGGAATATTTCTGACAGGCAAGCCTTGACACATTTCTCTCTCTACGACTCTTCCCCCTTGTTGAAATCTAAGACGATGCTGTCACTAACAGCCTTCTCCCTCATTATCCAAATACTTTCTGATTCCTTCCACCTTAGAAGATATGATAGGAACCCCTTCACTCAGAACTGAGTGTGAAAAAGTAGGGCAAGGCAGTGACTCAGAAGTGGAAATCAGGAAAGCCAGAGCTTAAAAAAGAATTCTGGACTCACACCCGGGGTAGTTTGTGAAGTTTAATGGGCCCCAAAAGATGAATATCTTGGATCTCCAGAGAAAGTATTTCCTGAATGTAGTTATTTCCGGAGAAGGAGTTTAGTTCTGCTTGGCTAGCTTACATCATTGAGCTGATTTTGCCCAGGTTAGAATTTGGATAGGAGACCAGCGAAAAAAAATCCCAGGGCTTTTCCAGGCAAGGAAGAAAGCTCAGAAACACACGCGTGTACACACACACATGCACACACACACACAGCTGTATTCCTACAACACACTTAACCAGGTCAACTATGATCCTAATCATCATATTAATCCAGCGTGCAAAGATTGGGTAATTTATGCTTAATTTGCGTGCATTGTGTGAATCTGACATCGGGAGACTTTGGTACAAATCCAGTCATTAGTTCGGTAACCCGGTTAAGCAGGTGGAATAAATGCAGCCAAGGAAATTTTGAAGCTTGCAGGGAAAGCAACTTGGAGGATGTTGAAAATTTCAGCACAGTGTATTGTATTCCATCTTTCTCGGATGGTGTGGCATGTACATGCACTCTACACTAGTGGGAGTTCTGGTCTTCTGTTCTGAAATATACACATACATATATGTATACCCAGTGGCATGGTGACCCAGTGGTAAAGATGCTCGCCTCCCACTCAGAGAGTTCAGTCCTTAGGTAGGGCAGATGTTTCTCTCTTCTAGGGCACAAACAAAAAATATCTGCTGCAAACTTCTGCATGGCGTCAGGAAGGGCATCCAGGTAGTAAATGCTCAAACTCCATCCAGTCACCCTACCCTGAATTAAGGGATTAAGGGTTGTAAAAAGGAAGATAGGCATGTACATGTACATATATACATACATACACACATACGTATATACATGTAGACATCCCTGAAGGAGAAACTAGAGAGGACGTGGAAACTGAAAGCCAAAGTGGTCCCAGTGGTGGTAGGAACACTAGGGCAGGGGTCAGCAACCTGTAGCTCTGGAGGCGCATGTGGCTCTTTCACCCCTCTGCTGCAGCTCCCTCACTCAAAATATTCATCACAACTGCCAATGTGTGACACCTGCCAACACGCGATTTATTGAGCTTTTCAACCCCCGGTAGGCCAACAGTGGATAAATCCAAGAAAAGAAAAGTTTCAGAAGAAAACAGAACGTTTAGTTCAACTACATAGGCTAGTTTTGTAGCCTCTCAAGAAATAGTCAGGCATGGGAAGGGTTTTGTGGCTCCCGGTGTTTTCTTTTCTGTGGGAAACGGGTCCAAATGGCTCTTTGAGTGTTTAAGGCTGCAGACCCCTGCACTAGGGATTGTGCAGAGTGGCTCCAACAGATCCCAAGAAGAACATCAGAGCTCTCGGTCCAGGAGATGCGGTGCTAGGAACAGTTAAGATATTGCGCGGAAAACTCATATATGTGTACTATAAATATTACTTTACAACTCTTGACATGAATGGATGGAAATATAGATTAGATAGATAGATGATAGATAGATAGATAGATAGATAGATAGATAGATAGATAGATAGATAGACAGACAGACAGACAGACAGACAGACAGACAGACAGACAGACAGACAGACAGACAGACACCATATTTTTCGGAATATAAGACACACTTTTCCCCCCTAAAAGAGGCTGAAAATTTGGGTGCATCTTATACTCTGAATTAGCTTTTTCCTAAGCTTTTTTTCAGCCCTAACTAAGCGCTAGCCGAGTGAAGCGATCTCCCCCGTGCTTTGCCTGCTTTTCTCATTGCTGCTTCCTCTCAGCTGTGCCTTAGAAGCTGTTTTTTATCCCCAAGCATAATGTGCTGAAGCTGACCAGACAAAGGACACTAGCCAGATCAATACCTGGTAGGCAGATTTTTTTCCCCTATTTCCCTCCCCAAAAACTAAGCTGCATCTTATACTCTGGTGCATCTTATACTCGGTAGATAGATAGATCAACCGATCTAGGATGGATGGATGGATGGATGGATGGATGGATGGATGGATGGATGGATGGATGGATGGATAGGCAGGCAAGGGTGGAATCACAGAATAACTTGATCATGGGCTATAATGTACGTAAGGTTAACTCTGACAAACAGGAGGAAGAGCCACAGCCAAGAAAACTATCAGATAAATAAAATCTGAGCCCTGTAAACTGAGAAAGGGAGGGGGAAAACATATTCAGACCTGCAAGGTTCTGTTCCTATAAACCTATCATAAAATTACTACAGTACTAGCATGCATAATTTCGGTTTCATAGTCTGATCCATCTTGGAAGGTTGACAAAGACCTCCCCAACTCAGAACCAAGGAATCATATGTACACCCACTTCCCCTAATCCAACACAGTGCCCTCCAAAGATGTTGGAATTACAGCTCCTCAAATGCCCATAATATCCAGCCTTGCCTGCACTCAAAGAGATTGGCCACTGAGGCTCCCAAACATCCTTTCCCACTTGCCCCAACTTCTTTTGCTGTCACATCCCCGGGAGGTTGCTTATATCTCACTGAGGTTTCAAACAGGAGTGAAATGCTCCCGGTTTGGACCGGATTGCACAATCCGATAGCGATGGTGGTGGGTGGTTCAGAGAACTGGTAGCAGAAATCCCTGGCCCCTCCCATGCCCAGCTGAGCCGCGCGATCATCAGAGGCTTTTTTTTTTTACGTTTAAAAGCATTTTTTCTACAAATGCTTTTAAAAGTTTTTTTTTAAAAAGCCTCTGATGATCGCGCGGCTCAGCTGGGATCGTCAGAGCTTTTTAAAAGCATTTTTGTTTACAACCACTTCAGCCAAAGAGGTTGTAGAAAAAATGCTTTTACAAGTTAAAAAAAAAAAGTTGGCCACACCCATCCAGTCACATTACCCCCCACCAAGCCACGCCCACAGAACCGGTAGTAACAAAATTTCCATTTCACCACTGGGTTCAAACCACGCTTATCTATACCGATATTCAAGGAACCCTTTCCCCTCGTCTCAACAATACTTGGGAGGGGGACCCCCCACTCAAGCTGTGTACAAACTATTTGGCTTTCTCACCTTTTGCCTTGGAAGAAAAGCAGGACTGAGCAACCTGAAATAGAAGCCGAAGCAGGAGCGAGCAGAGAGATCAGCTACCAAAACAGAAAACGGCCACTGTTATGCCAGTGTATTCAAAGATGGGTGGCGGAAAGCAGTGGGACTCAGCAACAAAGGGAAGCCTCCAAGGAGCCTCAAAGCAGCCCCAGGAAGCTCAGCTTCCCAAGCGCAACAGCTGCTAAAGGGGGCAGGAAGGAGACAAGAGAGGGAGAGATCGGATTTAAGAGCTTTCACAGAGGCGTAGCATCAAAGGAACCTTGAAGTCTGGGCCACAGCCGATGAAAAAAATGCCTTTCGTGGGCATGCTGCGATACGCAAGGAGGGTGTGGGACAAAAGAGGGAAGGGGGATCAGCTCGGATTAATCTGCCAGGCATTTTAAGAATTTTTCTGCATGTCATTCACCATCGGAGGCAGAGGAGTGGTGCAGAAAACGAGACAGAAAATTAGCCCTTGAGTCTTATTTCACACACACACACACACACACACAATAAACCTAGAAACACTGGCTCTGCTTTGCACAACATCCTAGATTAGGCCCAAGAAAACACAATAGGATTAGATAGTTGTGGATAACACATTGTGCAAACCCGGTCTGTTATATGAATCAGACCATCAGGGTAACAAGAGATGATCTAGAGAAGATATGCAAATAGAGAGATTACCTTTTGCTAAATGAGCTTGTGTAGGGTTCCATGAAGATGAATAGTATAGAATAGAATAGAATAACAGAGTAGGAAGGGCCCTTGGAGGTCTTCTAGTCCAACCCCCTGCCCAGGCAGGAAACCCTACACCACTTCAGACAAATGGTTATCCAACATCATCTTAAAAATTTCCAGTGTTGGAGCATTCACAACTTCTGGAGGCAAATTGTTCCACTGATTAATTGTTCTAACTATCAGAAAATTTCTCCTTAGTTCTAAGTTGCTTCTCTCCTTGATTAGTTTCCACCCATTGCTTCTTGTCCTGCCCTCAGGTGCTTTGGAGAATAGCTTGACTCCCTCTTCTTTGGGGCAGCCCCTGAGATATTGGAACACTGCTATCATGTCTCCCCTAGTCCTTCTCTTCATCAGACTAGACATACCCAGTTCCTGCAACCGTTCTTCATATGTTTTAGCCTCAAGTCCCCTAATCATCTTTGTTGCTCTTCTCTGCACTCTTTCTAGAGTCTCCACATCTTTTTTACATCGTGACAACCAAAACTGGATACAGCATTCCAGGTGTGGCCTTACCAAGGCCTTATAAAGTGGTATTAACACTCCACGTGATCTTGATTCTATCCCTCTGTTTATGCAGCCTAGAACTGTGTTGGCTTTTTTGGCAGCTGCTGCACATGGCTGGCTCATATCTAAATGGTTGTCCACTAGGACTCCAAGATCCCTCTCACAGTTACTACTATTGAGCAAGGTACCACATATATGGTACCTATGCATTTTGTTTTTCTTGCCCTAAATGTAGAACCTTACTTTTTTCACTGTTGAATTTCATTTTGTTAGATAGCGCCCAATGTTCAAGTCTGTCAAGATCCTTCTGTATCTTGAGCCTATCTTCTGGAGTGTTGGCTATTCCTGCCAGCTTGGTGTCATCTGCAAATATGATGAGTGTGCAAATAAGATGGGGTTACATATCCGTCTTTCTTGCATAAACCCCAATCGGGGGATTCACCAAACGCAAAGCAAAACACTTTTATGGCTTAACATATCGGGTGAACTGAGCAGAAGAGTCTCAAAGGAAGACAAACCCAGTACAGGAATGATAGAAGAGATGTAATTATAAAGCAAAAAAGAATGTGAAATGAAGATATATGTAAATAGAAAAACGGGGCTGCTCAAATACCATTCTAGATTGAATTGAAAATAGAAACAACAAGGGAGTGGAAAAGGAGAGAGGAGCAGAGAGAGGGAAGGAGGGGAGTAGGGATGAAAGAGAGAGAAGGATAGAAGAAAGGGAAAAGGAGAGGAAGAAAAGGGAGGGGAAAGAAGAGTAGGAGAGAGGGTTAGAAAGGGAGGAAGAAGAGAGGAGTGGGGAAAGGGGAGAGGAAGTAGGAAAGGGAAAGAGAGGAGGAATGAGGAAAGTAGAAAGAGATAGAAGAAGGAAGAGAAGGGAAGAGGAAGAGGAAAGGTTGTGGTAAAATAAAGGAGAGGAAGTGGTAAAAGAGCAGTCCCGAACAATTAACAAATGAAAGTAAAAGGATAAGAGGAATGATTAATGATGGATAAGCGACTGTACATTTAAATATGTCTATGAAAAACAAAAATAAACTTTTTTTAAAAAAAAAAAAAGTAAGACAAACCCGTCCTTTCACCATTTTGGTAATAATATTGCTCAAATGTATCACAAACAACAAATCTTCAACCCCGTTATTAAAATCACGATATGTTCATGTATATATTAATATGCATCAATACGTTTTAACATTTTTGTTACCATTTTCACAGCATTTTGTCCCCGTACAAGTCCCCTGCTGTTACAGCTAGTCCTCGACATACAATCATTCCAGGGACAGCTGGTTCTAAAACCACAATTTTTCTCCATTAAAAAAAAAAGTGATAATGAAAAATGGGATCAAAATGCATCAACAAGTTAAGCAAGTGTTGCAACAATCCCTACAAATCATTGAGAAGTCAAAACTAGCATCAGAAAAAATTAAGACATACATGAGCCTAACAGTAAATCCAGCATTTAAAAAAAAAAGAATTTGCAGTAACAATTTTATAACGTTTGGTTGAATGTAACCTTTTGGCTGGCAAAATAACCAAGGTGAATGAAAACAATACGCATTGTTATGGAAATAATGAATCCTTGTGAGCAATGAACAAATACATTTCTGACCATTTCAAAGCACCTATTCTATTTATGGCATCACTTTGACTTCATTAAAAAATGTGCACGAAATAACAAAATCATTTTCATAGGCATAGAAAATGTTGGTACTTTTCACTTCTCCCAAACAGGTGAATGTTTTCCAATATTTTTACCTACTGCATGCCTTTTTGTTTATTATTATTGTTTATTGGTTCAATTTACATGCTGCCCTTCTCTGGAGACTCAGGGCGGTTTACAATGCATTAAGCAATAGCCTTCATACTTTTGTATATACCTGCTTAGGAGGGCTTTCGGGGCCCCCTAAGCGGTGTTTTTTTTTTAATACAAAGTCAGTTTATTGCCCCCACAATCCGGGTCCTCATTTTACCTACCTCGGAAGGATGGAAGGCTGAGTCAACCTTGAGCCTGGTGAGATTTGAACTCACAGTAATTGCAGGCAGCTGGCAGCTAAATACTACTTTAACAGCACTTTAGTTTGCTGCTCCACCAAGGCTTGTATGCAATTTTCAGCAAGATACACGTTTGGCATGCAGTCTTGCTATCATTTCCTTTTTATACAGAATTCTCCCTGCAAGACGTATTTTGGAATTAATCACTTGATAGAGGACCAGCGTTGCAAAATCTGAAGTACCCAAAGCTAAATTATCTTCAGATTTGTATATTTTAGTTCCAGAAGTACAAATTTAAGTTGTGAATAAAAGTTTTGACTGATCAGCCATTCTGGAGCTGCATAAGAAAAACACTGGGTATAATTGAAGGATGTACAGTTATAGAGACTAATCTGATTTTGAATTTAATAACGGCAGCCAGACTTCTGGTGGCGCAATATTGGAAGAAGGAAGAAATACCTACTATTGAAGAATGGACATTAAAAGTAGCTAATTTGGCAGAGATGGCTAAAATCTCTGCATATTTGAAGGACCGTTCGAATGAAAGATATGTACTGGAATGGAGAAGATGGATTGACTATATACAAAACAAATATGGGACTAAAAAGTTGCAAATAGCTTATGAATGAAATATTTAGATGATTTTTCTTTTTACTTTGATATTTTAGTACCTATGGCAGAGTTAAAGAGTAAGGGGAAGTTAAGAGTTTATAGTTAGTTTGCTTATGTTAGATTATCTTTGTTAAATGCAATACCCTGTATTTTGCTCTGGGAAGTCGGGGGAGGGGGAGGGAGAGGGGAAGGGGTGGGGGAAGGGGGGGAATTTGTTTGTAAAACATTTTAAAACTTTTCAATAAAAGAAAAAGAAAAAAAGAAAAACACTGTCAAATCTCTTTTCTAACAAGACAGAACTTTCTCCAGGGAACTAGGGATGTCTAGTATAACGAAGAGAAGGACCAGGGATGAGATGATGGCAGTCTTCCATACTTAAGGGGCTGTCACACAGAACAGCAGGTCAGCCTATTCTCCAAAGCACCTGAGAGCAGGACAAGAAGTAACAGGTTGAAGATGATTAGAGATCCAACCTAGGACTAAAGAGAAATTTCCTGACTGTGAGAACAGTTGATCAGTTACCGCTGGAAGTTGTGGATGCTCCATCAGTGGATTTTTAAAAAGAGACTGGACAGCCATTGTCCAAATGGTAGATTCTCCTGATTGAGCAAAGTCCCTTCCAAGCCTATTATTCTATGTTCTTTCAAGATGAAGTCCCTCCACCACCTAGTTCTTTTTGAACTTCAAGAAACACGAGGGCAAGTAAAGATACCTTTACTCAACTCTCCTTAAAACAGTATCAGCAACAAGAGGCAGCGGCAACTGTCCCACATACACACCACCAGAACATTCCTTTTAAAAAGCTTGTTTCTTTTGGGAAAATAATCAGGCATGATCACGTGATTGTGCTATTAAAAGCTATGAGATCCCATCTGAAACCAAGTGAACCCTCAGCTTTAAGGACTTGCAGACGATTTTGTGAATACTTGCATGCTTTGGAGCTGTGTTGCCCAACCTTGACAACTTTTTAAGATGTGGGGGATCCTTGGTGTTCTCTGAGCTTGTTTCATTAACCAAACTAGGTATTGGTAGTAAAGAGTGCAGTTTGCTGTCAGTTTATATTCTAATAGCTAGCCCTATCAGTATTGGTGGGGGTGGTCTTAGAAGTTCTTAGGTTGGGCTGTTTGCTGTTGGCTTGTTTGGCAGTTGTTTGGCATATGAGCCGTGGTGGCGCAGTGGTTAGAAAGCAGTACTGCAGGCTACTGCTGCTGGCTGCCGGCTGCCAGCAGTTCGATCTTCACTGGCTCAAGGTTGATTCCGCCTTCCATCCATCCGAGGTCGGCAAAATGAAGACCCAGATTGTTGGGGTCAATAGGCTGACTCTGTAAACCGCTTAGAGAGGGGCCATAAAGC